TCCGTAACATTTGGTGTGCATTGATAGGCATTTATATTATTTTGATTTGGTAACAAGGTCTACTAGGCGCAGCTCCCCGCATCCCCTCAGCAGGATGTGAGCTCTTGGTAGGAGATTTTGTTAGCTCTTCTGTGCTAAACCCAGCAATGCAGGGTCACTTCATTGGCTGATAGCATCAGCTGATGGCTCCCAAAAATGAATTAAATCTTGCGTCGTTGCGCTTATCTCAGTTGAGAGCTTCTGGCTAGAGTGTAGGCAGGAAACGATGGCCGGCCGACCCTAGGTTTGAAGTCAAACAATTTTTAAACAGTTTGACTACTTACATTGGGGGGAGGGGCTCCAGGGCACTATAAACACTTCAATTCCCTGATCTTGTAACCGTGTACCAGTACCATCCATTACAGCATTGAAGTATGGTAGAGTTACACAATGTAAGGATCCATACAGGGCATCCCTTGCTTCTATGCATCTTGTGAAGTACATTACGAGCAGAGAACTTTCTAGATATAAGAATGCAATGTATTGCTTATTGCTTGCTGGCATGTAAAGAGTTAATTGAGCTTTAATTGTGGAAACAGCTCAATCTCTCACCCTTTTCAGAATTAATTGAACATGTTGCCACGAGCAGTTTGAAAATACATGCAGAAAGAGAAAACCTGACTTAAATTCGACTTAACTCCTGCAGTGCTGGAAATAGCTAGAAATGCTGAATTGTACATTAGGCTGTAGGCTTCTGTAACAGTGCATGGATTCAATTGTAGCTATTTAAGAGTTAACATTATTCTTTTGTTAACATTCTTATGAATCACAGAGCTTCTTTTACAGAACTCCAAACATTCCATCTGACTTTCTGTATATCACATGACTATGCAGAAACAAAGAAAGGAGGCAGAACTTCCCTATAATTTGAACATGGGGTGTATTTCTGTACATCAGGAGGATCACAAATGTAGATTTAGTTTTGTTAACATTGTTTGGGAAGTTTCTTATTTAACCAATTTTGTAATAAATTGTTAATCACCCTTTTATTTACAGTATACTTTCCTTCACTTGTGAAATTGTACATTTAGTCTAAAAGCAACACTCCAAGCACCATAATCACTCCATCTCACAGTAGTGGTGTTGGTGCCCCGAGTGACCTAGCGCCCACCCCACCATTGCACACAGGCTACCCAATATAAAACATGATAATTTCATGTGATTTCATAAACTATTATTTTTAAAATAACCAAAAAGTGTAAAGGATGCTTCTGAAATATATTTAAACAAATTCAGAAAGAAAACAGAGCGTGCAAAAGTGCGTACTCAAAATGAATAATTATAATGAAAACAAACTAGCTCAAACACAGGTAAATCACATATAAAATTGAAAATGCTTCCCATAACTGGTGGTATGTTAGCCATTAGTTTATGGTATCGCAATAGAATAAAGGAATGCTTACACAAAATAAATATTAAACATACGGAGAGCGATCATAGCGTAACACAATAATGAATGTAATGATACGAAAATATTAAGATTAAATTAATCTGGGGAGGTGGGCCTACCAGTATTTACTTTATTCATTTCTGGTGCCTGTGAATGCTCTCTACATAATGTTTCACTGCTCACACAGGCCAGCCATTTGGCTCTACTCTGAATAGAATGTGAGACCCTTTTACCTGATCCCGATCCTATGATGTCGAGTCTATTGTGGGCATTGTTCAACATTGTGCAGGATTTGCATGGTGTCTTTGATTGGACAATGGTATTTTCACATTTTCATTATTCTATCCTTCATTTTAGATACTACCATGTTCTACATTCAGTTGCTTGTCTACCTTAGTGCTTTCCGTAGATGATGTAGATTTACCATCCCTGTTCCTTAATCTTCTTGAGCATCGCATATCTCATGCCAGACAATAATATTCGAGGATAATCTAAAGCTCACAGCCATTGTCTCTGGCTAGGCATTGTGAACTGCTAGGATCACATTACCATAGATGAGTTTGTCCTGCAACTCTCATTGTACAACAGTATAAAAAGTCCTGAGGGCAGCATATCTTACACAAAAAACAGGCATGGTTTGACCAGGCCACCATCTGAAATAAAGGGTCACTCTACTGCCTAAATACAAAAACAATAAATATGACCAGTTAGTAGATTTACATCTCAATAAAAAAAAAAACTTGCATTTTTTATTTAGGGGTATATACAGGGTGGGACAAAATTCAGAATAGGATTGGACAGGTTCCTAACTTTCTCAATTTTTTGTTGCAGGTTCATAACATAACTGAGTCTTGGGAGATTCATTATGGGTAAGATCATGAAGCAATGAGTTAAAATAGTGGACTTTTATTGGTGTGAAAATTTAAAAATGTTCTACGTCCTGTACTGGAAAATTGTCTTGAAATTAGGTTTAAACATGATGGGGCTACTTCCCACACTGTCAGGGCCACAATGGACCTCCTGAGACATCTGCTCATCAAGAGTATAATTTCAATAAATTCCCAGATTAATTTGCCACCATGTTCGCCCAACCTTTCAGCTCACGATTTCTTCCTGCGGGGATATCTGAAGGAATGGGTGTACGTGAATGAACCACGTACACTTTAGCTACTCAAGGAGAATATCCGTGCAAAAATGTGAGCGCTAGAGCCTCAAATATTAGCTAATGTTAAGAACAATGCAAACACAAAAGCACACAAAATTTTAAAGTTGGCATCTTCTGTAATTAGTCAAGCAAATGTCCACACGTTAAGCATTCATTGTATTTAATATAATTGAAATTAGTTAATTAATAATAAAAAAAAAAGTTATGGATTCCACAAACCCTACTCTGCATTTTAACTCTTGCTGTATAAAAACTGCTTGCAAAAGCTGCTGATCTCTTGTCTGCAGCCCTTGCAATCACTCCCCTTACTGTGGCTGTCCAATCACAAACATCCCAATTCAGGTTAATAAGAAATCTTTGCAAGGCAGGTGCTTGCTAACCAAACCAGGAAGTAAAAGAACCTGTTGTCTGATTGACAGCCAGCATTGTGTAAAAAGGTCAATTTCAAATTCCCAGCTTGTACCTTCAACACCCACCTATCAGGTCCAGAGTGCTTCGTTATCCCACAGTCTGGCAATTCCTTTTAGACAAGACAGCGATTTAAGCAGTAAGACCAAATTGATCACGAACAGACACCTTGTGCATTCCCACCCGCACACATAGGGCCATCACAGTTAATGCCCAGCCCCCATGTCCAACAATATAGGTTGGTAAAAGGCACACATACATACAGATAAGGAGGCACTATAAAACAGGAGGCAGATAAGTGAGGGGCAGAGGGAATACTACAAGCAAGAGTAATCTCTGCATTCTATTATGCAAGTTAAATTATAGCTTGTAACTCATGGCACTCCCGTGTCAACTGATGCAGTGACTGTCCATTGTCTTCTTACATGATGTGGTAGTGATAGCCTTGAAATAAGACCAAGCATGTATATTTAAATCTTGGATTCTTTGACTATTCAAAGCTCTGATCCTGACTTTGGCGATAGTATGGTGTGTATTATTCTGACCGGTTAAGAATGACTGTATTGTTGGTTTTGGGCATTCTGTCCCTTCATTCCCTTTAAATACTAAAACACATAATAAAGGGATACTGTAGGCACCCAGACCACTTCGGCTCATTGAAGTGGTCTGGGTACAGTGTCCCTATTGCCCTTAGTGCTGCAATGTTAAACATTTCAGTTCAAGAAAAACTGCAATGTTTACATTGCAGAACTAAGTCAGCCTCTAGTGTCTAAAACAGCCACAAGGGGGCTTCCTGGTTTGAAAGAGACCTTTAGGTCTGCATGAAGACCTTCGGCATCAGACTTTTGATTCAATGCTTTCCAATGGGGAGGTCTAATGTGCGTGTGGTGTTTGCCGCACGTGCGCATTAGAGCCCGTGCATTGCAGGATGGAGGAGGAGCTTCGACCCAGAGCAAAAAGAGTGCTCGGATAAGGTAAGTAAATAAAGGGTTTTTAATTCTTTATTCACTGCAAAAGGGGGCGCGAGGGAGGGGGAAGATATAGTGCCAGGAATGGGTTAAAGGATCTTAACATGCGCAGTCTTAAATTAGAGGTGCAAAGGTTTAAAAATATCAGGAAGTATTACTTTACTGAGAGGGTAGTGGATGAATAGAATAGCCTTCCAGCTGAAGTGGTAGAGGTTAACACAGTAAAGGAGTTTAAGCATGTGTGGGATAGGCATAAGGCTATCCTAACTATAAGATAAGGCCAGGGACTAATGGAAGTATTTAGAAAATTGGGCAGACTAGATGGGCCGAATGGTTCTTATCTATCGTCACATTCTCTATTTCTATGAACACAGCTTTGTATTCCTGGCACTATAGTATCCCTTTCACTGTTGTCCTCTATAAAACAGAGTTTATATTTCGTTGTTTGTGGTGAAGCCTCATTATCATCCGAGGGATTGGGCTACTTGTTTCTGAACTGGAAACATCCTCAAATTAGAAAATGAACCAGTTACAAAAGGATTTAGTAGTTTGGGACAAAAACAGCAAAGATAAAAAATCAATGACTTGAAATGTTTTTTTTTCCTGCTATTTTACAACTATACATTTAGTGAAGTGCTTTGATAGTGAAACAACGTCATATATACATACGCTAGGTTTTACTTTCGCTGTAAAATGATCAGAATCCAAATTTGTCATGAGAAGTGCACTTCTATCTTTTTTAACATTAGGATTATCAGGTTAATTCAATCGCCTCATTGTCAGAAAGCAGCATTTGAGTTCTTCTGGTCAATTGCCATCGTACCACGATACGCTGTTTAGGGAATAACCCCCATTGCTGCTAAAGAAAATACTCATGTCCTCATAATTTCAAAAAAAAAGCTAACAATGTATACAACCGTAAAACCAATTTAGATGTATAGCATTCAATTAACAGAAAAAATATGCAATGGGGATGATTGCATCATAATGATATTTAAATTTCAGGAACAATTTCCATTGTTGGCCACAAACGGAGTTCCCCCGTGCTGTGAAAACTGTAATTGGTCATATGGTATAAGTGGAAGATTAGGGGATATTTTAATTCACTTCTCCTAGAATCTTTCGTAGTTGCAGATTGGGAACATCTGTGCTCAGTGCAGGACGGAGGGCATTACATTTTTATCAAAAAGAATTGAGAACACAAGAAGAAATATGTATTGGCTCACACTTTCACTTTCTTTACTTGTACAGACAGGTGAGTGCTGAGAAAACAAGTATTGTTTAGGTAATATGTTTTGGTTTGCTGACAAATGGGTGAGATAAATACTTCTCTTGCTGTGATTGTCCTGCGATAATCTAACGTCCGGTCCAACTTTTCAAGATAGGAACCTTAAACATTGCTTCTAAAGGTTTATTCACTAAACAGTGAGTTGACAAAAAAGAAAATATCAGGGAGTTTGGTAACTTCAGGCTCAGCAATGAACCCATTACAGTTCACGGTTTGATGATTAAACCCCTAAATTTAACTTTGCACATGCGTGTGAAAACCTTGTTTGAGTGAAAAATACATATACAACATAGGGCTTTGTATGCAAAAAACAAATATGCTATTTACATACCCGTAAGGAATCGGTGTCTTATTTAACAACTTAATGTCTACTTCTATTACAGTGGTCATTGTGACCAAAGAAAGTACAACCTGGGTTCAAGGTACCCTGGGTGGATCCATACATCTGACACCTGCGATACCCAATGGGTTTAATACACGGGATATCTACTGGAGACATTTGTCATCAGCTGATGAGCTGGTGGCCACTTTTTCTCGGGGATCCTCTGAGACAACATATCGGTCACGATTTTATGGCAGAGTGCTGCTCCTTCAAAATTCTACTCTAGAAATCAGGGATCTGGAAGTCCAGGATATGGGAATATTCTCCTGCCTTCTGGTGGACACTGAAGGACGAATGAAATTATTCAAGTATCATCTTACAGTTTATGGTAAGATTTCAAGTAGCTGTGTATCATCCAATGAATTATCTGATTTAAATAAAAATGTATATGGCCATCTGAATATCTCAAACAGACCAAAATCATGCAGTGAGGGTGAGCAGGGACAAAAATTAATTTAAAGGCAGAGCTCCCAATGGAAAGGGGCTGAGGCCAGAGAGGGGCATGTTAATGACTAATGATATCCACATCCCCCAATGAGTTGCTTGTTTAGCGGTTTTTGGTCATTTGTCTCTGGTGTCCCCATAAATGGAATATCAGGGGGCAAGAGAGTATAGGGTATTTTCCCAGGAGTTTTATGCATTTGGAGGCTGCGTGTGTGATGTTGACTACCTGTAGTGTTATCTTTGTGTGTGGGAATGCTGCCTGTTACGTAGCTGCATGTGAGGGAGAGGCTGTTTGTGGGATTATGTGTGTCGAGAGTGCAGTTTGCAGTGTAGTATATGTCTGCAGACGACTATTTCTGGTTTGCTGTAAAAGTTGTAGTGTGTGTGGCAGAGGTTCCGTAATGTGTGTCTTTATGGGGGTATAGAGGCTGCAGTGTGAATTGGGAGAAGATAGTCTATAATGTAGGGGGGCAGGTATTAAAACAATACAAATAAAATAATAGAACAATTTAAGTCGATTCACCTCTCCCTCTTGTGCCCCCAGGAACAGGAAAGGGGGGGTGCTGTACTATGATGTAGCAGTTGGCGATTCACGCAGACAGCTCTTTACGGCTGCCCAGTAGTAAACTGCGGCAACATTCTTATAGCACAGCCGGAGCGACCATGGAGCCCTCTCTCTGGGGTTCTACGCATGAAATCAATACAGTGTCACTACGGTTTCCTTTTTTGCACACTTGCTGCATTCTGCATCAATACATTTTTTTTTCTAATTTGCACTTCTGTGCCTCATATATTGCCCCCACATTTATCCTGTATAGCGTCAGGCTTTTTTCTGAACACACCACGGATCTTGCATTGGGGTGCACTGGTTTATGGAAAACATGACCTTACTTTATGTAGTTTCTGAATCCGCAAATAAATGTCTGCCTTAAAATAACTCCCCAAGGTCTAATATTTAATTAAGAACATTACACGCCATAAGCCATATACGCTAGTCCTATCGCTCTATATGTATTAATCTTTAGCGGCCTTAAACTTCTGACTATTGGATAAGGCCTTACTTCACAGTTTCAGTAGTACTTTCAATGGCCTTGGCACTAAGCAGGTGTACATACTGTTGGTGTTTGGAAGAGTAAAGCATTGAAAGGATCAGCCTTGATAAATCTGAATTTAATTATATTCTTACTGATAATTATTCAGTTATTGCATTCAAGAATACATTAGGAAACTTATTTATGAGATTTGCTCTTATTATTATTATTTATATAGCTCCACCAGATTCTGTAGCGCTGTACAATGGTTATCAACTGCTTACAGTAATAAAGCTTCTGACTACATGGGCCTTGGTATGAAAATTATGTAACTGAGAAAAGCTAGACCTTTCTACAGAAATGCAGGAATGACACGGAAGATGTGTTATTTGTGTTCTGTACACAGTGACAAATTCCTAAAAACTGAATTAGCTAAGAAATATTTTTATTTTATAGAAGCAGTGATCCCAGCGGCAGTGAAGGTATTTGTATCTGGTGATTCCGCAGTATCTGGTGATTCCGCAAATGGAACAGAGTGCTCTTTGTTCCTAAGCTGCAACACTACAATGGGGAGCGACATATCCTACACCTGGAGGGCAAACAAACTTCAAGGAGAGCTGCTAAACGTGTCCTATACCACGTATGATGACGGTCGTCTGCTAAGGGTGAATCTGGGGCTTAATGACTGGGACGTATCTTATACCTGCACAGTTACCAATCCAGTGAGTGAACAGCACACTACAGTGGTGCCATGGGAGAGTTGTGCAAATCTATTCGGTAAGCCACTTCATCCACGTCCACAAACTAAAAGTGAAAACAGAAACATACAATGAAAAGTCAAAAATGAAAACTAAATATTGATTTAAACTACATTTTGTTCTTATTCAAAAGCAATTTTTATTCTACTCAAAACTATTTTGAGACCTGAGTGGGGATTAACCGAAGGGCAAGTTCCTCTAAGCTTTTGTCCATTCTCAGAATTTTCATATTCTTTGTTTTATTTTGCACTAACTTGACTCACCCCCAAGTTAAAAGGGTAATCCTGCCATGGAGCACTGTGCCGAGAGGGGTGACCGCTCGTGACACCCAAAGAAGGCCGAAAAGCTCGTCCAGCGTTGCTGTATCTCTTGTGCAGAGAGAACTTGCTGGCAGTCTTAAGAACAAGATACCCTGGAGTTCCTATAAGCTTGTGTCTGTTGTGAGAGTTCTCATATTCTTTGTTCTTCATTTTTTTACCCAAGTCTCCAAAAGTTAAAAAGGCATGCCTTAATTTTGTACATTATGTTAACTGGTAAAGATTTTGTTATGCAATGGCCCCCATGTACACGAACGCATACATGTATATCACTGATAGCCCCAGATTAAGGCGCAACATCATAGCGCCAAAACACGTTTTAAGCGTTCCTTTGTTTTAGATGTATTTAAACGTAGTTTAGTTATGGGCTTTTTATGTAGGGTAATTGGTTCAGGGGAGACTTGTGTTCTAATTGTATTTTTACTTCCCACCGGACAGGATTCCATTTAGGTCTTTAGAACTATATTTAGGATTATAGGGCTTTATTTGATATAGGGACTGTGGCGGAACCAGCCTCGCCACTGGGCATTGGAGAAGACTGATTGCCAGCCTCCTGCCCTGTGACTATGTTGAAATGCTGGATTTTCCCCTGCAAAGACCCGAAAGCCGGGTCATTCGGTACTTTCCCTATGTGAGCAGTGTTACCCCAGATAACTATGCCATGGAGCCCATTCGCCCAATTGAACTGTATGTATGTGATCTGAGCGCCATTCAGTAATAATTTGCGCTCAGATCTAAGCTATCTGGGGATATGTTGAATGTACCCGTTTTATGCAATCGCTGCACAGTTATATATTTTTATGTATTTTATTGTATTTTGCTACCATGTGGCTAATGGAGTTTTGCCTCTGTCCTTGGAGATAATTGGATTACTTCCCAATTATCTCCAGGATAGAAGACTCTGTGGAACTGGTTTTGGGCAGAAAAACCATGCTTCATTTTGTCAAATAGGACTTTCCCTTAACTTTTTAACCCCTGAACCGATTGCCCTGATTTTTGAGTATGTGTATATTTCAAGCATGCAGATTCTGAAAATTTATGTTTTATGTGAATGTCATATATATTTTGGAAGTTATTAATATTTTGTAAAAACTATTTCTCTGCCTGTGAATTATATTACCCATTGTGTTCAATAATCATATCACAGGCAGAGGGGAGGATTTTGTGTGGGAGTGTCTGTGTGGTTGTATTTCAAAACCCTGTGGGCAGTACTATGTTTGTGGATTGTGAATAAAAGAGGCTGTATGTGCCAGTACAGTCAGTTCTGCTTGACCTCAAAACGAAGTGTCGTCTCGTTCTTGGGGGGAATTGGATTGTATGCTTTTCCTGTTCAGCTGCTTACAGCATTCATATGCTTGAGAGCATTCACATGCTTCTCCGGTTCGGTGGTTTTGGTGTCTGCTGCAGTGCTTGGAGTCCTCAGGAAGCTCTAGGAGCATCCTTCAACGGAGCTACCCAGTCGGGGTGCCAGGTGATCCGTTACAGGGACATTAGGTCCCGAGGCATTAGGAGTGGCACTCCACAGGCTCTCTGATAGTGATAATTAGGTTTTAAATCTCAGCCCACATTTAAGCCAGCTTTCAAGCTCTCACCCCTTATTCAACGTATCAGGAGTTGGTGGTTCCGAGTATAGCAGTGAGGCTCGGCGGTTTCTTTTAGCAGTATTTTATATTTTGGGGCATGTTGAGGTTAATGGGTAGTGATATAACAATGATAGATTTTGTGGGTTTGGAGCACCAATAATCATATTTTACAGCTTAGGCTGTTATGAAAACACTATTGAGGGCTACAGTATTATATTGCACTGTTTTGCAAGACTATTGTGACTACTCATTCCTGGATCTTTGTATATTGTGTAGCTATTTAATTTAGTAAGCCGTTTTGGGCTGCCTCTTCTATTTGTAGCTATTATTTGAAATTAAGTATCTACTTACTCCTCTGTCTAAAGTCAGGGCCGCCTGTCATGGTAGATATTTAAGTGATATACCACTGCACACATCCTAGCACAAATAAAGGAATAT